CCGGGAGCTGATGTTCAGATCGGAGGGCGTCCTTCAGCTTGGATCCTCCCTAAGCCTCTCCCTCCTCTGACTGGTGCTTAGTAGGCAATTTCGTGGATGGATCATTCCCTCATTCCCTGCTAAGCACCAGTCAGTCCTGGGGCCCCCCCAAAAAGAAACTCCCTAAGCCTCGGCCACGCCTCGGAGCCGGAAAAAAAAAGAACGGTCGAGACCGTCGGCCAAGTGGCAGGGACCCATCGTGGCCACGCCCCCACGCACTTCATCGCCCGATGGCAGGAAAAGGGACTAGGCGGCTTTCGATGCGGCAAACCGTCTTGGGAGGACTGGCTTTGGCTTTCGTGGTGCCCAAAAGAAATGAAGGGAAATAGACCCAAATCCATGGGCTGGGGGCCCCCCTATTCAAATACACACCTCCGAAAACTCATTGCATGACAAGAATGGCGCACATGCCCAGGCGAGCCATGCAAGCCATTCGTCGTCCCCCGTTTCGCTTTTAACTCAAGCTCCGCTTCGTTTACTGTATTTCAGCCGTTCACCTCAAGCCTCAAAGATTTCAGTCGATCATGCTTACTTGCCAAGTAAGTAGGTACTGGAGCATTGTCACTGCCAAAGCAACCTGGCGAGGTCGTTGGACTTCACTCTCGAGGTTTGTACCAAAGATTAGACATCGTGGCATGATGGTCCAGAATTGGTTGGAATCGAAACCCGGAGACCCGTTCACCCTTACAGCCTGACCATGTCTGGTGGTCAATTTCAGTCTGTCCGGTTCATCTTCGGTCGGTGGGAAAGCCAGGATCCAAGCTGCCGGTGTGCTCCATGTAGGATCGCTGATCATACATACAAAGTACGGTACCCCTTTCAAGGGAAGGGACGATGTGAAGAACATGGCGCTGAAGCTGCTGCGCAGGTTCCTCTCGATCGGTAGAAAAAAAATATTGGTCTTTTTCGGGCAGAATGACTGCCACATGGGTGTTCTGGAAGACCACTGGCCCGTAGACTGGTCTATTTCCCGAACTCAACCGGTTGCCTGGGGCCGCTGCCCCCGAATTTCATGCTCCAAGCATGCGTGCCAATGTCTGACTTGACCAAGCGTCCGAGTCAAAGGCTTCGGAGTTGGCGCGCAACAAGCTGTTGTCACTGTTGGGGCTCCCCTGGCACCATCGGCACCGAGGTCCCGACCTCCCAGCCTTCGATCTTCCAGAAAAGCAAGAAAGGTCTGAAAATCACTCATAGCGATGCACTTGTTCCTAGTAGCTTCTTTGTTACTACTATATAGTAAGGCACCTGTTACTACTAGTAAGGCACCTGTTTCTACTAGAACTAACAAATCCCAACAAAATTCTTTGATTTGAAAGGTGGATGATTTCTAAGCACCTCCAATGGTGGCTACTGTGAGGATGGGACACATGTTCCTTCACACCGGTATGACGTCCGGCGCAACCAACGTGGCCCAGTGGAACACGACCGAAGACGCTGACACGGTGGGAGGCGCCTTTCCGAAGGCTTTCCATTCTCCTCGACTTGCGAAACTCGGAAGGAATCGAACATAATTCGATGGTGTCGCACAACTTGTGGACATGTCAATCTGGGATATGCGCCCCTTTTCCCTTGCTACGATATATCATATAGCAATACTAATACCAATTCGATGCGAATTCATGGCCTGGTGCACCTCTATGCCAGAAAAATACTAGGAGGTTCATCGCCCAAGTAGTTGGTCTTGATGGGTATTATATAATTGATCCAGTGATTCATGACTGGAACAAATGTCAAACTGACATGTTAATGAGCAAATAACTTGTTCTTCGGTCCTTTCCCATTGATTTATCTTGTTCTGTTCTTGTTGTTCCTTCTTTGAAGGATTTACTGGAAGCAGAAAAAGAGGGGCACCCAATTCCAAGGCGCATCCAAAAAAGACTTGACATGGTTAGTGGCTGCGGCTGATTCTTGACACGGTGATCCACGCATTGAGCCGTTTCCGAGATTCAGAGAATGTCTTCTTCGAGACCTCGCAGCACCTGGCTGTCTCACTGTCTCGCGCAGCACCTGACCGACCTGGACTTTGCTAAACTGCAGCAGATCTGCAGCAAAACTGCAACAAGTGCCTTACTAGTAGTTAGCATTTGGTTCCACCTCACCGGGGCACCTCCCAGACTGACTGGTGTAAAGAAAAAAGGACTCTCGGGAGGTGCCGTGCACCGTGCCAGATCTCCTCCTTCATCGCTGGTCCCTCCGTTGGGCTTCAAAGTGGCCAAGACCTCAAAACGGCGAGCAGAACCGAACTTCAGCGTGTCTCGCGGCGTTTTCTCGGGTGTCTTGGGACTTGAAGAAGCAGAAGGCTCTCAAGGTGGATGTGTCGTGATCGCTCGCTGGATTCCCTTTGCCTTGATTTGGGACTCGGGGGAAGCAAGGACTTCCCAGGATTGAACACTGCTTGAACTTGCCGTCTTTCAGACATGGAACCCCCCGCTGATGTCGGCGCCCGATGTCACACCACCGGTCGACCCCAGTGAACGTCAGCACGTCCCGCACTCACTAAAAACACACCGAGCAGCTCGTTCGACCTCTGCCAAACGCCATTCCAGCTGTTGCACGCGCCACTCCGGCGCGAAGACCATGGGTGCCACCATGGGTGCCACCATGGGCGCAGCCATGGACGCGATGGGCGCAGCCCACGTCGGTGTCAGGAAACAGGGCAAGCTGACTTCTTGTGTCATGGGGAAAGCTATGCGGTGAAATGGGTAGAAGGATGCTCGTATGCTCCTGTGGCCGGGAAGAGCACTTGAGCAATCATCCAACGGCTAAAAACCAACTGAGCAATCGTCCTCGGCAAGAGACCTCTGAAACTCGAACCAATTGTTGGGCCAGGTGTGCCTCTCAAAACCCTATGGTTTTAGGGGCTTCAAGAAAAAGCTCCAAGGGAAGAAGAAATGTATAGAAATGTCCCCATTGATTCGGCGGAGTTCGGAGGGCCAAAGAAAAGCTTCTCCGCGAAGCTTGTAATCTGACGGCTTGTTACCGCCTCGAGAGCCGGCTAACCCAGTGGTGCTCATCTGGCTTTGAGCAAGCTTGAACCAGGAACGCGGGGACGAGCGCGACTCCCGCTCAAGAGCGAGCAAATTGTATTGTTGGACATGTTCATGTCGGATGGTCTTGGGCGCTTAGTGAAAATCCGGACGAGTGGTTAGGGGTGCCCAAGAATCCTTGAGCTAGTGTGTGTGTGTGTGTGGGCGAGGTATGGCCTGAAGTAGGTAAGGTGTTGTACTTTCAAAACATGTCCAACACATACATTTAGCAGTTGTCCTTTGCTTTTGAGGTTGCATATTCTACTGTGGGAGACTTCCTTTGGTAAACAGAGAAGGCAAGCAGTTGTGGCAGATCGGCAGATCTTGTTCAAGTGCAAATGATTTACAAAAGAGATCGAAGAAGGTTCTCCTGGATTTGCGAGTGTTCTGTTTTATTGCTCCACTATGTTCACATCACTTGGTGAGTTTGCCAATTCACCACTGCTTTAATCAGCGGTGGGTGGTGCTTGAAAACAAACATATATAAATAGATCCCCAAATAGATAGAAATAGAAAAGTAAATCTCCGCTGAAAATGGAATGAACGCCGTTTCAATCTATTTGGGGATCACTATAGTTTCGACCTCAGCAAGACCCCATGTCACAGACCACCCTAATTCTTGTCCAAGAATCACGACCCTTCCGATGAACATCCAGTATATCACTCACTGTGTGAAGTGATGAGGAGAAATCGCACATCAAGTAAGCTTCCAAGGCCTCCAAAGCGCTCCAAGGAAGGAAAACTCATCATTGGATTCTGCAAGGCCTCATTCCGGTGAACTCACACGACCGCATGGGACCCAGCTCAGAGGGAGCGCGATGGAGCTGAATGAGATGTGGAGGGATGGAGCGGGCTGAAGGCCACACAGTTTTCAGTGGGTTCGAAGCAACATGTGTTTGCAAAACACCAGTGCTGCACATAGTTTTGGTCGAGCTGCTCGCGATCCCAGGTGCCTGGTGAAAACAAGCACGTTTTTCACCTAGAAGTGGGAGGGTCGAAGGTCGCGGACCAGGAGTAGATGAAAGCATGTGCGCAGTCGGCGCAGTCGAAGGTGTGAAGACGTCTTCGTCACCGAAAAAAGGCAAATAAACTGCTGTGCTGCAAGTAACGCTGTCAGGTGTGGACAAACAAGAAGTGGCTGAGCTCGAGTGCCAAACATCAAGTGTCTGAGCTCGAAAGAAGAAAACTTCACGAGTCCCCGGCCAGCCAGCTCGTTATTCGAGCACTGAGATGGATGCTTTTTCTGGAGTCTTTCCTCTCCTGGCAAGCACCAGTGTCAAAAGCACTTGCATCATCTTCAAACGAGTTCACATGTCAGAACAGCCGACAGCTGTGCTTCTTTGAGCTGACTCCTTCTTTGAAACGAAACCCCCATTCGACCGCTGACACTTTTGGGCACCAACCAAACGTGGTTCGTTCGTTAGACCACATGTTTGATCGCTCCTTTTTGCGGTCTCAGGAGCCTACACCCGGAGCCAACAGTGTAAGACCACATGTGTTTCTCGCTTTTTTCACCACACGGACGCGTAAACCGACGAGCCAAGGACCCCCCCCCCTTGTGACACACTTGCGGAGCGGGTCGTGAGAATTGGATCTCACGGACGCAGAAATGTCCAGCGGAAGTGAACATGGGAGACCAAGACCTCCTGAGTTGGACCCCGGAGAAGGGAAATTTGAAACAGACCAGTCTATCCATTGGTTGGGCGCCCCCTATTGAAATACACACCCGTCCATGTCTGTTCAGTGGGGTCTCAGCGTACGCCGCATCCGTTCTCGCATCCTGTCTGCCAATCCCATCCAAACCCTGTCACCAAGTAGCCAGCCGAGTAGCTTGCGCGAGTAACAAAAGAGTAACAAGCCCACCCTACAAAGCAAAAGCAAAAAAAAATAACGAGATGTTGAAAAAGCATGAACGACGTTGTTTTCAGCTCCCTAATGACCGCATTGGGCCATTGATAGTCAGAGGCTCTGTCTTCTGAAATGCTCAGTGCCCCCCCGCGTTCAGGCCACTGCACTTCTTCATGCTTGGACGGCAGCCTTTCCTCACGCAGCCAGTGCAGGCAGCGCTCTTGTCGTTGCTGATGCACTGATTCATGCACTTGTCGCGGGAGCATTCCACCAAATGCGCCATGCAGGCTGCGCATGGCTGCGAGTATCCCTTCTGTTGCATGCAGCCTTGCGTGCAAGGGAAGCCTGCCGCACAGGAGCGACCGCATTGGTTCAATGCACCATCGAAGCTGGTCCTTCCTCCCCCCTTCCAAACGCCCAAGTCCTTGGTGTTGGTGCATGCTCCGCCCGCAAGTGTCACTTCATCCTCATCCTCATCCTCAGACATCAAAACGTCATGGTAGTTCACCTTCATTCCACGAAGTTGATTCAACTCCAGACTGCAATCTCCATTGGCTGCGCATGCATCGTCCACCTCCAGAGCCTCCAAGGTAGACTCGGCTGTTGCAATGGCAACTGTGACAAAGGACAAGAGGAGTTTCATGGCCATGATGGCGGTCAAGCAGGATGCTGTTGCGCTGAGGTTCGCGGCTGATCGCTTGAGCAAACAAAGTCGCCCAGCAACAGGGTGGGAGAGACAAACATATCAAAATTACCTCGAGTTAGTTGTTTCATTTAAGTACAAATTACACCGTGTGTACTCCGTTTCCTGCAAACCTGCCTTCCTTCATGACCCAGACATGTCATCGGCACATGTCTGTGTCAAACGGTCGATTTCTGACCCCACAACTGCCCGGGAGGACATCGCACGGGAAAAACGCACATGACTGCCAACGGAACCTGTTTTTTGGGTAAGAAAAGATCAAACAACTGACTTGAGAATCTCCCAAAAAATGCCAACCACCCGCCAGGCAACCACTCCTAGGCCACTCCTGGAGCTCCGAGCTTCTGCGTTCCTCGGAAACGAGGGGGCTATGACAGCTTGGAATTAGCAAAGATATGAGTCTGAGTCTTTCGTGAGTCGGGCTACACTTGCAGTCTCATCATGCACCTGTCAAATGAAAGGAGTAGAAAGAACTCGGGCTTCATGCACAAAGTGTCCGATGGATAAGATTAGCATGTTTGGCGGCTCACAACCAATGATTGAGGATTCCAGGATTCCTCTTTGGGGGAACAAGTAGACGGCCAATGGTGCCCACACCTGCACAGACAGCCCTTTCCAACACAAGTGAATGTCATCATCCAACCACATCCAACCCTCCAGACTGTCCATGGCAAAAGGATGCAAAAGGAATTTCAAACATATCTCGTCGTCAGCACAACTGGGGCAGCCTGTCCTGTTCCAGAAGAAACTTGAGTTTGGAGTCCTCACTCTGATGGCGTACAACCGACTTGAAAATCTTCAAAAAATACCAGGAACCACCCCCCTTAGGCCAGTCCTGGGCCAGTCCTGGGTTTCCCAAGTTTCTGGGTTCCTCGAGTTGTGCAAAAAGAGGCGCTCCGAGTTTCTGGGGGCGTCACCAACCATGAAATTTGCGCGAAGAACGGGTCGACTACGCTTCGCAAAGAGCCATCTACCAACCTACAAAATCGTCGCTTTCCCAACCCCTAATCAGATCATTTGGGATCCCAAAACCGAAAATTCTTAGCTGTGATGTCATCCCATTGCATCTGGCTTTACCTTCGCGTCTGCAAGTCAGGGCCAGAACCAACTCCAGGGCCCCTTCAAGGGCAACTAGTAAAACAAATCGTTCTTTGCGATGCGTAATTGATCCACATTCTCAGAAACCGGGTTGTTACAGGCTACTCTCTCGCTGTTGTTCAACGGCAAATGCCGAAAGCTCGGGGACGTCGGTCTCAGAGTGATGCGGGCATGGTCCAAAAGCTTTTCCCCCCTCATCCCACTAGGTGCTCCGGACTGGCCGCGCGTGCGAGGCGTGCGGAAACGACGGGACCTGCATGTCCATCAGGTCCATCAGGGCCCAGACCTGGAGGTGCGGGAGGCTTGACGTGATGCTGATATTATAGTTGGAGGCCATCGTTCTTAGGTTGGAGGCCATCGCTCCTAGGTGGGGGGACCATCGCCGAGACATCCGAGACATCAAGAGATCTTCATCGCTCTTCCATCGCGCGATCTTTTCCTCTGTGATTTTTAGCTGTTGCAGACTTGGAGCATTTTCTCCAAGCACGGAGCTCTCTGCCTCCAAAATGGCGCACCCGGGCCAAGGACAAGCAGTCCCGCTGTCTCTCATTTCTTGGGTTTGAAACGATCTGCAAGAAGCTGTGGTCAGAAGGACCTAGCTTGCCTGCCGGGTGGGCTCAAGCAAGGGCTGGAGAAAAGAAGGCAGGACAGCACTCAAAATCCGTCAACGGCCACCAACTTGAGCTAGTCCAGCATGCCCTAATGAAACTGACATCCATGCATTCATTGTTCTTGTGCAGAAGACGGGCCACCGAAAATCACCGGTCAGAATCTTGGACAATACTAGCCTCCAATAAACACCGAGTGCAAAGATCCCGCACCTTCGGATGAAGCTGCCTCTGGTCCAACTGCCTCAGGTCGTTGGAGGTCGTTGGAGGAAGAGGAGAACAGAGGAAGTGCAGCGTCCTATTCGCTCGTTTTCCAACACCAATGGACATTAGCCTACCGAAGAAGGAAAAGCCTGGAAAAGCCTTCGTCACAGTGGCTTTGCTCAACCAAGAGCCTTGAACTGTCAATGAGTTGACCACCTCGTGTTTGGTTCTGTCTGCAAGTATACAGGAAATGTTCTTCACATGTAGGGTTGCTAGTCATGATGTTGATGGACCATTTGGAACAGGAAATAAGCCCCAAGCAGTCATCAAACGCACACGCGCACACACACACACATGATGCTGGCCTTACTGGAAGTTGCTGCATATACACAGCTATGATACCTGGCATGGTAGCGGCAACTTTCAAGCATGGAAGTCATGGATCCAAGGAAGTTGATCCTGCAGGTGGACAAGCATTGGATGCATCTTGCCTCCCCAAGTCCTCGTGGAGTTCCTCATTCATACCCTGATCTGAAGCTCTGAGATCCTATCTTACGGTTCTTTTGTTGCACGTGGCGTGAGCTTCCAAAGGCCCCCCAGAACCAAAATGCAAAGGATTCGATGCAAGGGGGGCCGTGGGAGGCGCCGAATCCACGGTGAGGTTCTTCAAAGGAAAGCTCCGACATTCAGTCGACCGACCCCTTAAAAATAAACCAGCAAACAAACGGTACCTTGGCCTTGGCGTATATGTGTAATAATATGTGGCCGTATATCGATGTTCGATGTAGCTAATTAAAAGAACACGAAAAGAAAACTTGAAGCACCTTAAAACAATTGAGCAGTGTTGACTGGACCTGACCCGCGTGCAAGATTGTTTTCGTGGATCCATATGTTTGGCTGTGTCGTCTCCACACCGACCCGGTCATCCTGATGAACGCTTCCCATCCGGCCTCCAGCCTGTTCAATATCCGGCATCCAGCCGGTGAAGTCCAAATAAGCTTGAGCAGACTGCTACTTGCACCTTGCTTCTTCCTGACACAGGTTGGGAATCACTGGCGTCCTGTGAGGAAGACGAGTCATCTCATGTTTGGTTGCACTGGACCATCGAACATGAACTATCTACTCGCCGTGGCCGCGCTGGAGTGCCAGATCCTGTGAAGCCAAGCTGCGGTTCTTTCTCGCCGCTGGTCTTTCCATTTGCCTGGCACATAAATGGCGCTTTATGACCAGCAGGGGTGTGTTGCATGTTGGGGGATCAATGTCGACTGCTGACTGTGTAGAACCATGGGTGGTTGCAATTCCACGATTTGCTTTTGCTGCTTTTTTGCAGGCGGGAAGGAACAGTGCCCGCCTAGTTCAACTGAGTTCTTGACGGATAGCCCAACATTCAGATCCGAGACAAGGTGTTTTCTGAACAGCAAGGCGAGACAGATTCACATGGATCTCAATATTTCTTGTCAGGTGGCAGAGATGATTCTGCACAAAAACCCAAGCACGTGCAGGATCCGCTCACAGGATTGCTCGCGCTCAAGCGGCCAGAGGATCGGCCAATGGGAGGGAGTCATCCGTCCCTTTCTCCGGGCGGACCACGCCGTGAAGACTTGAGACCCGCCAGACTTGAGGGAGACATGGAAAAGAGATGAAACCCGCCAGGAAAAGACTCGCCCCGCAACTCTGCTTTACTAGGAAGTGGAGGCCGTCTGTGGCTCAGGTTGCCATGTTTTTTGGACGGTGGGCTTCCGTGGACTGGGGACTGCAGATCGGTGTAGACGGTGTAGAGCTCTCTCTCGTGAACCAGTGTCCTTGGTACCGACGGCAGTTTGATGCAGTTTAGGGTTTACAGTCTGAAGGGTTTCGACGTCGCCGTCTGATCGAGTTTGGTTCTGATCGGACGGCAGTTGAACTGGCCCGAGGCCACAGCAAGAGATCAAGCAGACTCACATGATCTCACATGGAAGAAGGAATCACGGCGCACTAGGAAAAGTGATGAATTGAGAAAGATGTTGTTCTGTGTGGGGCGACATGCTCCTTGACTCCTTGGTTCAACTCTAGTTTTCATAGTTTTCCTTGGGCATGGTCATGAGGGACAAATTAAACCGTTTATTTTGCGCTTGACCAAGCTGGCGTTCTTTGCAAGCTTTGCTGGAAGGATTGCAAGGGGCAAGTTCAAGGGCTAACAAGAAATCCATTGGCCCCACAGGGTTGCATGGCCTACCGTTCTGCAGGGTTCCGCATTTCCTCCCAGAGTCCGTGAGCACACGACTCCAGTGTCCAACACTACCACTCCAGTGTTCAACCTCCGTCAAAACCTCCGTCTGGCGCAATCTGGAGCCAGGTTGACCTGCCCCATCTGCTCCAGCTCGAGGTCAAGCCGCAAGCCGCGAGCGCTAAAACGGGCAGATTCATGTGAGGTCGAAAAGCCGGTAAAACCAGATGCTTGTGGGATTCGAGGCAATCCCGATTTCTTCAGATTTCGAGTTCCTCCCCCACCCACAGTTGCAAAAAACCGTGCAAACTGATTGTATTCATTGACCTCACATCGTGAAACTGGACAAGTTTCATTATGAAACTCCAATTCGCATTGCGAACCTTCCGTTTGAACGGGTGAATGCCATGGGCGTTCTAGACATGCTCATTGTTGATGAGGGACACTTCTTGGAAGGTGTTGTTTGACTTCTTGTGGTTCCCATCAAGAAAGACAAACCCGCAAACCCTCATACAGTAGAGGGTGGCCCGGGCTCATTGGCCCGGGCTGTTGGAAGAATGCGAGCGATTGGGCAGGCATCACAGTCACAGAAGTCAGGTCGTCTATGACTATACTGACCATACCTTGCTCATGGGGTGCCCTTACTAGTTAACAAAACATCACAGAAGTGTGTACATATGTATATATATATATATGGTACCCCCCCGGGACCTACTCTTTTGTATTTTTCAGCGGTATTTACGGTGAACTATGCACATTTTGACATTGATTTTTGGGTACAAGTTTTAGGTCAATTTTTGGTTGAAGGGATTGCGGGGGTGCCATATATTATATATATATATACATTGACACAATAAGAAAGGAAACAGTGGTCAATGAAGACCTCTTGGGTGGAAACCAGATGATAATAAAAACCAAAAGTTGCGCAACATGTTGCGCAACAAACTAAAGTCCTAAAATCCTAAGATTTCAGCACTAGTCCAAACCTTGACTTCATTGTTTTAGTCTGGAAATCTTAGGATTTTAAGATTTTAGGATTTTAGTGTTCCGCAACGACTAGCGTTGATATCTTAGGATTTTAGGATTTTGGGAGAATACCGAGTGAGTTGATTTATGAAATCTTTTATCATGTCAATAGCGTTTCATATCTCAAATATGGTTTAGTCAAGCCTCTAAGTATGTATGTTTTATTCCCTGTCATGTCACGTTTTGTTTCTAATACTTCATAAGTTGTTGTGCTCCTTTTGCTGGTGCATTCTTTTCTGTCAGTACAATTGCCTCTATTCTTTTGGTGAAAGCCGACCTATCC